GTGTGTCAGGCTGTGAAGCAGCGTGGGTGTGTGTACGTCTGTGGCATTACTCACTCATGCACTGCAGGCCATGCCTTTTCTGCAGGCTCTTGCTGCACAGTGAGCAGGTGGCAGAGCTGGAGAAGGAGCCAGGCACAAAACAATGGCCGCTGCTGCTGCTGCGGTACACTTTCTCTTTCTCTTTGGCCTCCTTCTCCTTTTCTCTCTGCAGCTCTTTCTTACCCTGCAGATGAGCGAGAAACAGCAAAACACAGGAGGTGGGGGGGTTAAACTCAGACCTGTGTGCTTTGCTTCGCTGGCACACATTTATACATCTAACATCGCGTTTTGTGTCAGAGGAAGGAAATGTAAGGAGGTTTGGGTAAGAAGATTATTTTACACGTGAGGATTTTTTATTGTAACACAAAGTACTAAAAAGGGGAAGGAAATGACAGTTTTTCTGGAGCTTGTTGCATCTTTCACCACTCCTAATTTCCTGGGCTCCACTTGTGCTGTTGTTGTTTACCTTGTCTTTATTGAAGGAGCCGGTCATCCTGTTCCTCAGAGAGCTCAAGGTTCTCTTCACCTTGGTGCCTTTCTCTGCTTTCTCCAAACGATCCTCCTCTTCCTCATTCCTGAAGAAAAAGAATGTATAATACAAAATAATATAAGCGTCATTCAGTGAACATTCATTTATATTGACTAAAAGCTGTTACTTTGATCAGTTTCAAAATGTTCTCATGGTATTTACATGTGTAGGCCAGTTTTTAGTTTTCACAAATAAAGCAAAAACAATTCAAAATGCATCCAAACAGTTCAGCTGTTCATTTCCTTCAGATGACCTTTATTTATTGCTTGTATTAGTTTATCAGATTTTTTGTCAACTAAATAATATTTGTGATATTTTGCTAACACCAAGTTTGTCAAAAGGAAACCCAGACTAGTTGTAACATTRTACATTATTTGATAGACGTTTACCTTAAAACCCAGACTGTAAAAATACAGTGATTTATTTATTGTTATTGTCACACAGACATATTATTTATGCCACAAAGCATTCTGGGTAAATGCTGACACTTACCAGTGCTAGGCTCTGAGCTCTATCCAGCTTGAACATTAATTTTAGATTTAGATTTATTTTAGTAAATTTACACTACAAGAAAACAAAAATGAAATGAAATGAAACAATTTTACAAATACAAAGCAATAATTTACCAAAGCTGAAGCCAAGGCTTATTCTTGCCTACCCTACTCAGTGACTTCAGAATTTTGTACAATGTCTGACAATCAGCACTTTTAAATGAAACTGAAGAGCGTTGACAGAGAGGAGAAGGTAGAAATGACTCAGCCTGTAGCTGAAAATGTGGATGAAGGACATCAGAGCTGCTTTAGCTTTTGAGTTAGCTCCAGAGCTAACATACATACAGTATATGCTACATATGGTGTTACCTCCTGAGTTTTTATTAGCTCAGGAGCTAACTCTYTCAGCGGCTAACGTTTTCTTCCCAGACAGCTTTAACCGGATTGTGCAATGTTGCACTGAGGATGACCTCGCTAATTATTGCTCCTGTATCATTATTTCAAAAATTCCGGGAAACCCTGCTGACATCAAATTCAAAACGAATAAATCACCTGAATTTATTTCGGTGACTCTGAAAAGTTTACAATATTTTATCTGCCTTTGTTCCAAATTTTATTATGATCTGAAGTTTGTGGTTTTCTCTACAGAGTTCCACGTGGTGAAATTTTGCGCACTTGTTGACACTAGTCTTTGTCACTTGACACATTTGGCACGCTGTCATTGGTTGAGGGACTTTGTTTAAAAAACAAATGTATAATAAATAATAAAAGAACAGGCAAAAATGGTCACAAAGGCCCTAGATAGATAGATAGATAGATAGATAGATAGATAGATAGATAGATA